ATGAGGCTCCGAAACTGAGGTTTTAAATTTGTTCAATAGGGCAAAGTAAAGAAAACGAGCGAACCCCCTTACGAGAATCAGAATTACTCTTTTTACTTTTTACTCTTTTGAAAACAGAGTGCAGTTCGATGAAATGTTGTGATATCAAAACCATAGTAATTACAACAACCAATCAGAACAAAGAAATATCACAAAGAACCAATGAGAACCCAAAATAAAAATAAGTAAGCTGCCTGAAGCGCGGGAAAACGCAAGTGACCCAGTCGCGTTTGATATTTTGTTTAGAATCTTATTAGTTGAAAGGATGGCATGAGTTTTCTGGGCCAATCACATAGCGAATAAAGTTAACAGCAAAGTAATCCTGGATTATCTTCCACACTCGATAAGAAATTGCTTTAATTCACAACCTAGTACCTTGGCGTGCTCTCTGAGGCTAAGTCGGAATCGCGTACCCCGCGAAATTTGACGTTCTGAGATTCGAAACCTAACCTAACTTATTCTTTATAATGATATTGTCTTCACTTCAGGTGACAGTGTGGATGTGTCCAACTGGTTTAGCAAGCTTACTCTCGAGCTCATCCTGTCCACCGCGTTTGGCGTGGATGCGGCGATCCAAACAGACCCAAACAGCGAGATTTTGCGCAAAGCGCGAGAGATTTTTGGCGCCCCCTCATCCTTACGTGTTCTTCATCGCCTTCCATTTGGAAGTTACCTACTTCGTTTCATAAATCACTTAAAAGGAGTAAAAGGCGAATACTTTGAGGACCTGGCAAAGGACATTATAAAGAGGCGCCTTGAAGTGGGAACAAACGGAAGAGTTGACCTTTTACAGTTGATGTTGACCGCCAATGAGGCAGCTGACGAGGCCAGTAAACTTTCTGAGGATGAACTTGTTGCTCAGTCGGTTTTCTTTTTGTTAGTCGGCTACAAAAACACAAGCAATTCCATGGCCTTTATCACTTACTTCCTGGCAACGAATCCTCAAGTCCAAAATGAGTTAAGAAAAGAAATTCGAGAGGCACAAAAGTCAAATCCAAAGGCGTCAATCTTCGATATCGCCCAAGACATCGATTACCTTGATTGCGTCGTGAACGAATCTCTCCGACTATGCCCGCCTATATTTCAAATGAATCGCTCCTGCCATGAAGATCATGACATTGAAGGTATTCACATCCCAGCAGGAATGGAAGTGATAATTCCAACGTTCGCAATTCATCATGATCCCGAAGCTTGGCCGAATCCCGAAAAGTTTGATCCGGACAGATTCCGAGAGAAAAACGAAGGCACTCGTCACTCGTACCAGTTTTTGCCTTTTGGAGCAGGTCCTCGAAACTGCATCGCGATGAGGTTCGCCTTGATGGAAATAAAGATCGCATTAGCGAAAGTATTGATGAAATACAAGTTCGTTCAGTCACCAGAAACACAAGTTCCACTGGCCTTACATACAGGGGTTATGCTATCGCCAAGAAATGGCATCTTTCTCAGAGTGGAAAATGCGTAAGAATCTTTTTTTCACGCTTTAAAAGCCCTCCTTCATTTTTAATCGACTTTGAACCGAATTTTATAAACAAGTTAACAATATTTTTTAATTAGGGCGTATATTTTTAGCTTTAATACGATAATTAACGGCAGGTTTTCATAATAAAATTATGTTACTTTTTTGGGACCGGTCATTATTTATTGCCTGGGGGAGGGGAGGGGGGTGTTAGAGCAATTTGGTTGTTCACGATAAAACTAACCTTATTCCCTCATAAGTCTCTATAATATTCTTATAACCCACCCCTCCCTGGCAGTAAATTTTCTATAGTTCCCCCCCTTTAAACTCTGTTGACGACGAATGATCCGCCACTGGTCCCCCCCTTCGTTCCCCATGTGATCCCCTATACTAATCCTCCAACCCCCTTCTGAGGCTTTTTTGGGGTTTTTTTATTTCCTTGGTCTAAGACATTAATTTGGTTTCTGAAAGGCGAGAAGGTAGAGCGCAAGACAGGCAACCTTTCTTAGACAAACTTGTTGTGAAAGAAGAGAAAACTCATTAATCTTTCACAGGGGCGTAACAAGGGTAAGAGGGCTGTTAGGTTGTCACTGACCCCCCATCTTTGTGAGATGAATTTTTTTAAAGTCAGTAACACAAATTTAACGCGTTAATCTTTTCAAGTGTCAGATCTTTAGTTCTTTCCCATCATCGAATACGGACCCGCTGATACACGAGGTGAAACAGTGGGGTAAGTCACTTAAAATAAGGCGCGCGGAAATTAATAACTATGCCCTTCCCCTTTGAACATTATAGCTTGCCCTTGTTACTCAAAAAAACGAAAGCAAATTCACCTGGAAAGAGTTTTGCTTTATGTAAATCTACTCAACATTTTAATAATTCATAAATGAATTCCTTTCACATTAATATGAATAATGTGGAGGTTGACATGATCAATTTGATAATTAAAGTAAAAAGAGTTTAGTTATACATTGACTTTTACTTTTTGACAGTGCGTAAAATACTACCAAAAGAAAATCTAAAAATGGATCTTCCCAAATCAGAAAAAGAAGTATTAAAAGTTATCTCTCTATGAACAATTCGATTGTTTCCTCACACTTTTTAGAGAGGACACACGAACTGAAAGTCTCGTCACTCTGGACTTCATGCTTGAAAGCAAAACCGAAGAAAGCCATTAGCTAATGACAAACGGACCGTTTCTTATGCATTCTTGTAACAGAAAGAAATATAAATTTGTACTTAAAAGTGTGTGTAAGCCAACTTTTCCATTGCAATCGACAGTGACTACTCGAATCCATTCGATCATTCTGATCAGCGATATTGACTCGTCTTCGTTGGACTGAAAATATAGCCTTTCCGTCCGTTAAAACCGGACTTTGGCACATCAAGAATTGTGTTGTTCATTTTGTTGAATTATCGGTTATTGTTTGAAACTACACAGGCGTTGAGGTTGTTGATGAAAGCGCCAAGTTTTTTCTTGTTTACTTTTCGTACCCCTCCGGTCACAACGCCAGCCCGATGAAAATGCTGAAAACTCAGAAACTCCAATTTTTCACAATGCTTGACAATAATCTGCAAAGTCGCCATAGTGATTTTAGTGTCCTGAACAATCCCCAAATGCACATGCGTCAAATTCGGGTTGCCGCTGACCAGTCTCTCAATGCCATAAGAAGTAATGCTTTGAATGTCTTTAAGGTTAATGTCTCGTAACAAGTCACAGTGTTTTCCGAGAGTTGTCAAACTTTTATCCGTGATTCTGCTGCAACCTGCGATGCTAAGACGTTGTAAATTATTACATTCCTGTGCCACAAAACACATCCCTTTATCGGTAATTTTTTTTAGTTCACGGCACCGACTGGCAATTGATTTGATTCCGTTGTTGCTGATCTCGTGGCATTTTTCTACGTCCAGCTCTTTCAAGAGGGGACAATTCCTCGCGATTACAGTGAGCCCTCGGTTAGAAATCTTTGTTCGCCCAGCTATGTTCAGTCTCTGCAAGCGCGGACAGGAACGTGCCACGTGACCAATGGCCTCGTCAGTGATTGGCTTACAATGGTCACCTGACAGGTCAATACTTTGGATCCCCGTTGAATATGAAGTTACAGCTTTCACTGTCTCGTTCGTTATTGGCTGAGCATCCCCGCAATATTTAAAGTCCACTTCGCGCCAGAATAAAGAGTCCTTACAAAGATTGTTCCATCGTTGACAAACGTAAGAAGCTTGAGTTCTTTCTTGCAGTGACAGATAGGAAAATATGCGAAGCCAGATGTTATCTGGGAACAGCCATTGCGGCTCTGATGAATCTCTTTCATCTTCCAGATGGTCGGACACTCTCCGACTCCGACGTGATAGAAATACTGTTTCTTGTGGTTTTAACCTTGATAAAAGGAGATATAGACAAAAAAAATTAACTTAAGATTTTTCACGGAGTGATGCTCAGTCGTTTTAGCTTTAAAGAGCATCGAAACGGCTTGAGCATCTGTAATATTTTAACTTAGAAATTTAATTTTTGTTTAAATCGAGTCGATCAACTTTTTTCTAAACCGCCCTCAAGCTTGTTCCTTATTTAAGTTCTGTCACCTCTCATCCTCAGCAGACTGTTCCAATATTTAAATTTTCCAGTTTTTTTGTATCAGAATGTCTATGGCGAGAAATTAAAAAGACCTTTATTTTCTCTTGATGTAGCGAACGCGCGTTAGTGAGAAATAGGTGACCGAAATATGAACTACCCAAAGGTCAAAAATTAAAAGCTACGAAAACGTTGAAGAACTAGTAGACCATTAAAACTAAACAATCAATTGAAAATACAGCGATGTTATTGAAAATAGAGTGAATCTCCGACATATAGAACTGACGCCTCGTGGAATACAAGGAAAATTTTGCAGACCGTTTTAGATGGCGTTGAGGTGACTAACGAAATTTTTTTTTTCTGATTAAAGTCTTGATCGTCCAGTCCACCAAACATGGGGTTTTTGAGCAGAATTCAAGAATAAAAATGATTTCTGAAATACCATGATATGGAACAAAGCTTGGATAAATCCGTGCCTGTTCGACCAATTAATCACCAGTGGAGTTCCATTCTTACTCTGCTCAGTGAAATGAGCTGATATGAGAGCTGTAGCATGAAAAAATATTATAGGTGCATTTTACGTAAATATTGACAGTTTTGCGCTGATGGTCTCTTTGTGAATTTTGAACTTTAGAATTATCCACTTGATATGGAGCTTTAAACTTCGCTGAACTTCGAACTTGAAAGTGTTGACAGGTAAAAAGATCACGATCGTAAGAATGATGTCATCAAAACGTCTTTAACATGATGTTATTTCCTCAATTTTCGACAGTGCATTCAGTCTCACGTTCTCTCAACCTCGTTATCTTCAATTTGTCACGGAATATAAAGAACAGTCCCTCGCGTGCTTCGCTAATGAACTTTTGATTAACGCGATTGAGTAATTTTGGTAATGTTGTTTTGTGTAACCGGTATGTAAGGGTTGGAAAACTGACATTGCTGTGAAAGGGCATGTACCGTTACCAAGCAGAAAGAGGCAAATTTCCCCCTAAACCACTGGCTAGACTAATGAATATCAGGAAAGGATAAACGGCCTTTACGTCAAAAGGGCGGTGTTTCTTTTTTTCCGCTCTCTGTATTTCGTTGAGGGTAGGAGATTATCCCTTCATAAATTGTGCTGGCATTTTGAAATCAGGATTTTGACGCCTACGACTGATTCCATTGAAAAGAAAATATCAAAAGAAAAACACAAGGAACCGAGAGGATAAATTGATTTGAAACTACCATCGAAACCACTATCCCGTCACGGGAGGAATTCCGCCAGTCATACAGCTCGGAAACGAAACTGAAAGCTCTCGTTACGCTGTCTGTAAATTCCATTAAGACTCGGGGAAGATACAATCAGATCATTTCGGAATTTGTGAATTCTCAAGTACGGTTCCGCATAAAAAAGTCAGTTTCGCCCAAATTTTTCTGTTTTCCTTATGTTGGCGTCTTTTGACCTTTAGCACTTAATTAGTACGAACTGCGTAAAAAAAACTACTAATAACAAAGTACTTCAGGGAACAAATTACGACAATCCAATCTTTCAGCTCTTCATTATTCCATTTGAAATTGTGTTAAACTTTTTCTCCTTGGCTCAAGAAAAAACTATATTCACCGTTTTCAGTCGTAGTTCCATCTTACTTTTTCCCAAATCAAAAACAAATTTCTGTCTTTTTTTTCTTATTTTTCTACACGGTGATCTCTGATACGACTCTGCTCTGTCATGAGTGATTGCCAGATTTGAAAAATCCGTCGGTAAGTTCAAAGTTAAATAAAGCAGCATTAACTGACGACAAACAATTAATCCAAATGGAGAAGAGAAAATAGATTTAAAAAAAGAAAACCGGCTAAAGGCTTCTGAGATGAATTTTTACCACCGGAATCAGGCTACTGAACGCTGTCTGTACGAAATATTTCAGGTTGAATCAAATAGCCCCGTAAAGCACTATTTGAGTGTTAACACCATATTCATCTGAAAATGACTCTCAGTGAGTGGAATCTGTGTAGAACTTACTGATATCAATACAAAAAATCATTCAAAATATAAATTTTTGTATATCTTCGTTATACGACCGGAATAAAAGCTAAAACAAAACACAACACTTACTTCCGAACTCCTACACAAGATAGAATTACAGCCATCAGCAGGCAGTTGGGGCCTTTGGAAAAAAACTGATATCCGTCTCACGCCGGTACAACTCGTCTTCTGGGAGCCGGAGAAAATGCTTTTGAACTTTGAACGTAAATTTCAAAGCTTCAGGCAAGAAAAAGTCTCAAAGCGTGAGGTTAAAGCTTCAACTCAGCTGCCCGATGCATGTCGATCACGAGAGGTCACCATGACACGAAAACTTCCATATCAGCAGATTGCTGTTTTAATGGGGCTAGTGTGTGACTGTCACTCGTCTGAGAGACTTGTTAGTTTAGTTACTTTGATGTAATTGCCGCCTACAAGGAGGCGTAGACGGCTAAGTGCCATTATACGAGGTTTTGACGCAATTCAGTCAAACGCAATACCTTGAGCCTATAAAGATTGAGTAATCTTGAGCGCGTAACTCAAGCAGGGATTAAATGTTAAATGTTTTGCAGCCTACGTGTCGCTGTCCCTCCCCATTCCCCCCAGGTGAAACGGAAGCTTCCATTTCAACTGGGGGAAGGGTACGGCTACACGTAGGCTAAATGCTTTGGGGTTGTCCTGTAGCTAGAATCTGTTTCTTTTTTAAAAGCTGACGTAGTGAAGTTTTAAAATCAATTTGCTGCGTTAAAAATGTTTCTGATTTTTTAAGTAAACTGAAATTTGTATAAGTTTTTGTTCAATTACATTGTGGTTGACGTGAGATCTACTGTCAACCAAGAAGCGAAATTTGTTAACCCTTTACACCCTAACATCAGTATGCATATTCTCTATACTATTAACTATACATTCCCTATGGTACTGAAAAGGAGAATTTGTCCAACAATCATGAAATTCTTCAGTGGATGGTCATTTCCTGTATTCTTATAACCTTAATGTTTGATTCAGGGTTGATACTGTAAGGAGAAATGAGATGTTAGTCACTTATATGGGTAAAAGGGTTAACTGATGTGAACTAATGTGAAGGAAAAAAGTTTCTCTTAGTTTTCAAATTGTTATCGTGTTTCACTTGGTCTCATTTATCATGCTATGCACTTACTAAACAAACGATAACAAACAAAAGTCTACGGATGAACCCAAATTGCTTGGACCTTGAAATACGAATTGTTGTTTATTGTCAACAGCCAACAAAAATTTGCCAGTTTGATGAACTCGCAGATTCCTTGACAAAAATTTCAGTCTAAAGTAACAAACATCGTCTGACAAGGAGCCAATTGTTTGAGTTTCAACACAGTCTCGAATAACTATATTCAAGTCATGCTTTAAATATCGTATATCTTCAAAGTAATATTTGATTTCTTGTAGTCTTCAAAAACATACATAACTTTACAGCAGTGATTTTGACGACCACAACCTTTCGAAGGGTTGCACTAATGAAGAAAGTAATTCAGAATATTGTTCTAATATTTCGTGTTGGAGGCTTGTTAGGCTTTAACAACTGTAATCGTGACTGAGCTGTTTTTGTATGGAACACCTAAAATTGTTTTCCAGTCCTCACGAAATAACTTTGAGGCTCCCTTTTATTCCACATCACCCGTTTTAAGAAGAAACACGCATGGATCTGAATGTTTTATCTTGACTCGTCGAATCTTAGCATGAATTAGCACATCAAGCGACAAAGAATTGTGTTCAGTACTTCTCGTAAATGAGATAGTGGCTTGTTATATATTGCATCGCGGTACCCCCCTCTCCCCTCCCCCTACCCCCGCTACGCAGCATTTTGTCAGGTTGTCATAACAGTTTGCCAATACCTATCTTAGTTTAGTCGTAGGAGAGGAGAGGCACGATAAGAACAATGTGTCTTGCTATGGAACATACAGGACTTGACTGATTCATAACTCTCGGTTCAGAGTCCTTGCAGCGATGAAAGCTGGACAAGAAACAGCGACGGATTTGACGTGACAAGATAGCAAAGACAGAGTTCTATTAATCAGCTTAACGTCGGAACTGAAGAAAAATTGTAATTTGTGAGGTTTATTTAGCGAAATATGCCTGTCTGAAATAATCATAAATAGCTCAAACATACTTAAAATACGAAATATGCCTGTCTGAAATAATCATAAATAGCTCAAAAATACTAAAAAGTATGTGCTATCATATGATTATGTGGAAAATATTTGGAGAATGAAGCAGAGGGAAACAGAAGAATTGCTGAAAGGATCATGTGAGTGTTTGATCCTGTTAATAGTTATCAAGAGATTTATTTGTTGCCCTATGACCCGAGGACTTACATAAGATTTGAATTGTCGTACTCAAAGAATCCTTCCTAAACAAGAAAACCAAGATGAAATTGATTTAGAAATCCAGTAATTGGAACTTAGTTGAGTGGTTGCCTCATCATGCTGACGGGGAATTAATTATTAACGAAGCCAACTTATAATAACCTTCGCAAATAGTTGGGAAAATAAACAGCTATTAATGAAGAGGTTTGACCTCTCCTCGATCAAAACGATTGGCTTTCTTTTAAAAATCCTTTTTAATGCCAAACACCATTTGTTTTGGATGCCTTCTCTCTAACACTTCAATTTTCTCCCTAAACACACTGAGTTGCTGTCTTCAAAATTCGCTCAAGTTTCGGAACTAATCTTCAACCGCAAGTGCAACATACTAGACATAAACAAATAATTAACAACACTAGGAGGCAGAACATAAGCACCTTGGCAAAATCTACACCTACTTTTGAAATCCCGTGCAGGCAAGAAACGTCGCCATATTCACTGCAAGGAAGACAGGCCTTGCTTCGTCGGCGATGAAGATCTGATGAATGAAGCCGATCTTCAAAAAAACCACACTTTTACATATGTTGCAGCTGTATTTCAGATGCACTCTTGTGGTGTTGAATTTCTAATTTTGAGCTATGGCGGTCGTGTCTCTTGAATGTATCATCGGAAATGTCCAATTTTGGCGGGATGACATCGTGTCCTGAAAAGGCTATACTTTTTCATTATAATCACGTTTTGAAATAAGTCAACATATATGGCACAACTAATAGACAGCCGATGAAAGCTCGCGTCCTAACCACAGGCTGCCCAAACTCACGTCTCGAGAAAAAGCCAGCGATTAATTCATGACGTGAGCTTGGGTACCTGTGGTCCTAACATTTGCCAAATTTTCACCTTGGCATACCTTTCAATCAAAGATCGTGTTCTATTTCTAGAATGCCCCTTACCGTAAATAGCTCGCTATTTGAAACACAGAAAGGTTCCACACGCTCCGATTAACCTTGTTGATTTTCACATCTGTTAAACATAAACATTGACTTTTGCTCCTTGAATAAAACTTATGACAATCAATAGTACTCGTGTTTGCTGTTGCCAAAGTCTGCGATGGATGTACCAGCCCCTGCTGACAGACAAACGGCATTCCAACCACAGATAACGTTTTATTTCACAAAAAAAATTAACTGAAATCAAACACTCACAACAGGAAGTCTAATTTGGAGAATAGTCATAGCACGCAAATTTTTATTTCTCTTTGCTGTTTCCGGTTTTTACCCTTCTCCTTTGAAAGCTTTTGGAAAAAGCCCTAACTAGAGGATGTTTACCCGCATAGTCTCTGAATTAATTCCATTCGTCGACAATTTGAGGAAAACTTCATGTCAGGATGGAATATAACTGATATTTTGCGGTGAGCCCTCGGCACTCCTATTAATGCTATTGTTCGTGACTTGATGATGAAATGAGGCGGATCCCGGTAACTTGTTACGGAGTAGATGCGAACGAAAATTGGAAGCAGTCCTCGAGAGTGTTTATCTCATCAAAAATTAAAAGGGACTTGTTGTGGCTTGTTTTTGTGGCTTGCAGAAAAGAGCCACAGATCTATTTGGAATGAAACCCACATAACGACTCTCCCCTCCAATAAATAGACTGTAGAAGTCGTGTTTACAAAAAGACGTACAATTTTGTAAAATAAAAAACAAAAAGGAAAAAAAATAATTGAAACGAAAGTTAAGTATTCATGACAATATTGGAGAGAACAGATTGAGAATTAATTGAGCAGGAGCAAGATTCAGTCCTCATCAAGAGAATATCAACTGATATTCCCGGCTGAATATAGATATTCTCGTGGTTCTTATTCATGAACTTAGTTTTTAAATGCTAATATCAAAAAGCAAGAATAGAGCAGAATAATTGAAGATGTTGTGCTGTAACTTTGGAGCTTCAACTAGTTATCTACGGATAATTTGGCCTAATTTGTCATCACAATCTTAAATATGTTCCTGCGAAAAGCTATTTCGTAATTTAAAAGATCTCCGCAGATAAGACTCTATTGCGTACAGCACGTACTTTTAATAAAGGAAATCGGTTTTGAACATTCTGCTTTTTCCTCAAAGACTCTACTTTAGAAGTTTTACGACTGCTCAAACACGTACAAATAATTCAAAACTACGATCTAAAAACCGTCGAAAGGCAAATCGTGCTAACGCTCTCCTCGCTAGCATTTGAGGTCAATTCTGCGATCTGAAATACCGCTTCAGCGATTTAAATTCAATTACCTACTTAATAGGAATAAAATTCAGTGAAATCCAAAAGTATGGTGAACAGATGCCAGGAACGTCTTAAATCAAATCAGTTCAATCTTGTTCGTTATTTAAGAGCCCGTTCGGTAAATTCCTTACTGCAGTTTTGTTAACTAAGAACGTGGTACTCCGATTACGTTCTCTCGCTCCAAAATATTGATCTCGGGATAAAGTCCTAAAACTTCAAAATGTCAACGGGAACCTATTTCGTTTTCTCTATTGAGATAAACATTTTAGATAAGAAAATGAAAATAAAATGTCCCCTCTAATACTCGAGCCCCCAAAAACGTACATTTAACTCAAAAAAGCGATAAAATAAGCTTTGCATTTCATGAAGCAGTCTCGGTGTGATTCGGAATTTTTACGGGTATAATATTGAAATGCTGTCTATGTGGCGGTGAATGTTTAATAGTAGAGCATTAAAGTAGAAAAAAAGATATTCGTCGGCTGCTCTGTAGGAACAACAAAAGAAATAAAGATAAGAAACTTTTTGATGCCAAAATATCGACAACACTCAACTTGCATAACACGCCACTTTTTCCAAACGTGACTCTTACCGTATGTAAAATCTCGTATAAATTATTACGAATAATCAAAAATAAATTCAGTTTTTAGACATGGCAAATTGCAAAGCGTAAGAAATTTAAATCAGACATCCATTTCTGAAAATATTTGGTTTTGAGAAAAGAAATCATTAAAATCTAGGCAGAGCTCCTTTAAAAGCTGAACGATTGAATTAGATGTTTTCTTAGCGTGATCAGCGTGCCTAAAACGAATTTTTCGATATATTTGGTGCTTCTTAAAATGTACTGCTAATGTAGCAGTACATTTAGCTGTGCCTCATATAGCTTTGAAAGCAATGTGCCTCGACCTGTACATATGGCGATTTGAGTTCAATCACGTACGAATTGTTTTGAAAAACATTCATATTGGAAACATATGGGCAAACATTCCTTATGGCCAATATTTGATGCGAAGAGATTTTTTAAATCTAATGGAATCTTTGCGAACATCTTTTTTTTATTTTTTTGTTTTCATTCCAACCACTGCGGTCACGTCCTTGTTACCAATGCTTTAAAGCAGCTCGATATAAATTCACCTTTAACCGACACTGTAGTCAATAAATGTTTATGTATATTTTACACAGAAACCAAAAAATTGTTTTTTTTCTGTCGATATACCGAGGTCGGAAATTAAACTCTTGTCGAGCGGTTTTGTCTCTTCGCTTGCTCATACAGAGATGAATGTAACTCACTAATCACATTGAACTGGCCAATCAGGGTGTGCAAAAACCACCAATCACCAGTGTCGTGAACACTAGTAACCGAATCGCTGAAGTGTTTTTAAGAGGAGGGTATTTCGAAAATGCATCCACTATTGTAATGTGAAAGTTTATTGTTAAAAATGTCTAGCAGAATCCATATAAAAAATGATAATAATTGAGAGGTAAACACTCGTTTGCCTCGAGATTAAAGAAAGGGGACTTTTTGCCGCGTGAAAAGTGTCTTGGTCTCGTCCTGGGGTCCAACCTAGACATAAAATCAGGTTTTCAACGTAAAACGTATGTTTAGTAAAAGAGGTTTTGATGGACTAACGCATAGAGAGAGATACGTTCTCTAATGAACCCTTTAACTCCCATGAGTGACCAACACAGAATTTCTCCTTACAATATCAATACAAAATCAAGAAGACAAGTGATGAGAACCAAGAAAATTACCAATTATGGGATTATTAGATGATCCAATACCAAATTCTCATAAGTAACATCAGAAGATTGTATAGCATAGAGTAAGGAGAATTACTAAAAAGATCTTGGGAGTTAAAGGGTTAATAATAATTAACTCTGTCAGCAAGGTGAATTTGAATCGTGCGCTCATACACGATCAACTGCAATTGGTTAAACCATCTTTAAGGCTGAAGATCTAAGGATCTTTAAGAGCCGCATGAAAGTTGAAACGACATGAAGGTAAGTTATAAACAGAAGGGGATGGTTGCATTGGTTGAGGGAGGTAGGGTGGGGTGGGGAAGAAAATAGGTACTAGCGAAGGGGGAAAAGGGGGGGGGGGGGTTGGGACGGGCTATGGTGCATGTTAGTTCCCCGCCGGTGTGAAAAAGTAATAATTCATAATAGTAAGGCATACTTGTATTTTGCCAAGTCGTTACTTAGGTAAAACTCCATTTGATGTTAAATCATCCCACGTCGTTGAAATCACTAGTCAATTTCACCAAGGATTATGTAAAAGAAGTTCAAAATATAACAGAGTGATGTTTGCAATGTTTCGTTTGGTTAACATGCATCTTTATCGACCGGTCTTAGACCCCCCTTCCCGTAAAATGTTTCTCCTTGGCGGGAGGAGAAGTCAGTTTTTCCACAATTTCATACAAACTTCAAATTCACGAGGTATATGAACATGGTCATATTCTTAATCCAGAAGTATTTCAGGCGATAAAAAGAATCTAGTGAGATAAAGCTAGCCTTCATAATATAGTCACAAGTGATTTTCAAAAAGTGGTTGGACGAGGCGAAAATGCATGTGGATGTCTCGCTGCAAAGGCCAGCCTCGGTTAAAGAATTCCCGCCCCCTCTCTGCCTTGAGAGGTGAGCGCGGCTGAAGAATTGTTTTATGCAAAACAACGTCCGGTTTTTACAGAAACCACATATTTATCTTACTAATAGTCATCAGCATTCAGTCAGTCCCTATGCAAATATTTACCAAGAATCAAACTGAAGCTATTGAGGCAGAAATTATTCCAAACGTGTCCAAACGCGTTTTCGTGTATACATTACTATTTTTTTTTCAAAACACAGGCTCAGAAGGAAAAAAGGCAGTGTCGCAAGCAATACAAAACATGATGAATAATTTTTGCTATTTTACCGATATAAGAGCGTTGGGAGAAAAATGATTTCCTTATCGTAAGTTAAAGCTTTTAAGACAAATTCCTTAATTATACATAATGTAATAAAGGGGTTTGACAACATCCTCTTAAAAACTTCGTTTCATCAGACAACGCACTGAGGAAAATTGTGTCTAAGTGAATTTTTTGGAAAATTTGAAGTGGTTCGGCTTCCATGACGCTTGTCACAGGATCTAACCAAGCGAGAGTTAAGATGGTGGTTTTAGTGGGCTAACTGACGAGGTAAGACAGAAATAGAATGCTCGTTTAATGGTGTTTCGGTAAACCTTGAATTGGAGATGATAAAAAATTTAGAACATTCCCAAGGAGTTAAATTCTGTGATCCGAAGCGAAACATACCGACAAAATCCTCAAAAATCTGCTCAAAAGGAAATGCTAATTAAAGCTTCTTTGATTATTGATTCGCATGGAAATGAGGAAATTCACCTGCGGGCATTACAGAAAGAACGTATGGGCGCATTTTTTAAAGTATCTGCTGATATTTCATGAAGTGTTTTCATTATTAGTTTTATTTAATTAAAATCGAACCGTAATTCCTAAACGAGACAAAAACGTCGGTGCGTTGAATTCATACGGCTTAAAATTCGGAGGGCGGCAATCCTCTAGTGAATTTTCAGACTATGGCGAAAGAAATTAAATTATATTTCGAACTTATGCTTCAGACTGGCAAATGCCGCTTTTCTTTTTCTATATATGTATTTCCGTCTTTTCTGTAAATGTGAAGTAATACCCCCTTCTTGTGATCAAATTGAAAACTTATTGCTGCGGCATATTATGACACGGTGCATTAGTAACAAGTTACGAACTTCGAGAAAAAATTTTATTTGGCTCGAAACGAGAAAGAGGGACTCGATAGTTTCAATCTCCTCTCCTGACATGTATTTAATTTCCGTTCGTTCTGAAAATCGCGTAACAATAGTCACCAGTGCGGTTCAAACTGGCATTGTTAAAATCAACAATGCCCTTTTGCCTATTAAAAACAACAAAAACATGCGAGATGCTTTCAACAAGATTTTTTCGAGTTAGGAAGTCAACAACTTTGCCTAACCAGGTCGATACGATTAAAGTTAAGAGTTAACAATATTGGCATCGCACTAATATATAACGTTCATAGAGATTGTCATCCGCCGAACGGAATTTATATTGCGCGCGTGTAAAAAGTCGTCAAAAAATTACAACAGGTATACATGGATACAGGCACATACCCCGATGTGATCGATGCCCTATAAGTTGGCAGATCCAGTCGGTTTTTGTGTCGGATTGAAAATCCACAGCCCATCACCTTCACACCACTGAGACGGCATATGGTGTCCTTGCTTTTAAGAAGTTTGACGGCGCCCTGAATTTCTAAACTTCTGTTTAGTCTAGCTGACAAAGAAATCTATGTGAGCCATAAGTTGTGCAGGCAGGCACTCAGATATGATGAATGAATAAACATAACTTGCCCTCGAAGCGGTCATTTGCTTATGAAAATGCTAATAACTTCGACAGGTGTCTAAGCCCTCCGCTTAGCTGTTACAGGTTGTTGGCGGTTTGTACAATCGTGTTTCGACCAACAAATTATTCCAAAATTTTCTCTTATCTAGTCTGCGGTTACGATAGTTTCTGGCACAGTTTGCACTTGCCTCCCCTACAGTTCAACTATATTTGTCGCCCTTAATGTAAACATTGTTCCGAGGAAATAAGTTGATTAAAAATTTGCGCGCTACAAAAACTCGAATCTAATTGCGGTAATGAAAAGCGACGCTGAAAGATATGCCGTGAACAGGGATGTTTCTGCGCATGGAAAGTTCATTTATTGTTAATTCCGATCTGCTTCAGTCAATGCGCGTGCACTCGACTTGTTTCTGTGGAAACAAATAGCACGTGACAAAAGAAAAATATTTCATACGCCGTATTTCCACGCGTTGAAAGCAACAAAACAACATCAGTAATAGCCAATGGAGTGCATATTTTGAAACTATGAGCGGCGAGCGGGTGGGAATGACCAGTTGCGGCGTTTTACATTGATGCGTCTGTGCGCTTACATTGAAAGTCGCTTCCGCTCGAGCTTAAGAGGCGGTGAAAACGGCGATCGATATGGGATCTGCTTTGTCGTACCACAGCCGTTCGCGAAATATTACGATCATTCAAAACAAGACTTCTCAAGAGCAGAGAAGGTAAGTATACCAAACTGATAGCAAAATTTTTACAACAATTAGTAAATGGTTTTTGTTGCACAGTTTACTATGATATGATGAACAGTACCGAGAATATTGAAAACTAGAAATTGTAGAGAAGATTATCAGTAAGCTTGTATATGTTGTGCAAATTCAAAAGAAACTGGCATCACAAGAAAATTAGTTAAAAACAGTTCTAGTTTACGAAATTTTTGATGTTGGCTCGGAAAAAAGGTTTGATAAAATAGTATCTTTAAAGTGAATAATATATAATTGGTGACAGGAAAGCGTACATTTTATAAGTGAGTAAAGACTTGTTTTGGCAAACGTGGAATAGTTACTTTCGTAAGTCTACCAGATGTTACCTCATGTTTACCCTCCATAGGGAAATAAATAAAAAAATTTTTCGTATTCACAGCGCGGATAATTCCCTCGTTAAAAACAACCTGTTCTGTTGACATATTTTCGATTTCGCTTCGGAAAGTTAAACATCAAATAAAATATTTCATTTCCTATTACATCCCATTGTTTGGAGCATTGAAGTAGTTTTTCATGGTTGAACGTTTTATAAAAGATTTCTAACTGCATTTCGGTGGTTTAACAGCTTTTTATAATATTTATTTATAATGAAACACATCACAACACGTTTTCGATGACGTCCAATTTCATTCAGTGAAATGCATTTAGGTACCATCGTTGCGATAACAATAGCAAAACTTATTATAGCACATATATTAGGGGGAGGAACTTCAAGTATACACATTTGAATGATTGTTAATCCAGTACTTCACACCTGTCACTAATGAGTTTTCAAGCGTCGCATTTCCTGATAACTAAGAGTCAGAGGTAGAACATCAAAATCGGCCGAAAAATATTTGAAAGGAAAGAAACTAAAATGTGCGCATTAACTTGTCTGGTCAGTTATGTGAGGTATTTTTTTTTTTTTTTTTTGCGCAGCAGGTTAAATTCTATACAACCGTATGTGACGCCTTATTAAAAGATTCCGCGACAGATTGGAAACTAAATGCTGGTTTTCGAAATGTCTAAAATATCTTCGTCGATCAAGCATGTCGCTGTTTTCTCATCGTCTCCAGCAGGTTGAACCAATTAGTGATAAACCAAATATTTATCCCGGATAGTGAGGGACAAATCGTGAAAATTGGAAGCGTTTCTATTTTCCCAAAGCTTGATCTTCTTTGTGGGCCGTCACTCACATACATGTAGGAGTATATGGGAAAAACTACAGTTTTTAATGTAATGGCGTAGGGGAAAGCGTCTTCAACTGCTCGGCTCCAGTCCTGCCGAGAAATTTAAATAACTTCCTCAATAATATGCTATCTTGAAAATCATTGTGACGGTGCAGGAATTAAGACAAGTAAACTTCCTGATTATCTTTCTTTTTTTCGTTTTATAAAAACCAGCCTTAACATCTGGAATAGCGACTATACGATAGGTTCCGATCCGATTAACCCTTTAACTCTCATGAATGGCCAAGACAGAATTTCTCCTCACAAAATCCTTACAATATTAGTACACGAGTGATGAGAATAAAGAAAAAGATGATTTAGATGATTATTAGTAGATGCAATACCAAATTCTCCGAACTAACATCATAAGAATTGTATGGCAGACAGTAGAGAGAATTAGAGAATCACTGATGAGATCTTGGGAGCGAAAGGGTTAGATGAAATTTCCTAATATTTATCGGATCGAACGATAAATTGTGGCTTTAAACAAAACCTCATCATTAACACGTCAATAAATTTAACAACACATTTTCTCTTTTTAAAGAATATTTAAAGGAATTGCCATTGCAAAAACAGTCCAATTTATCAATCTCTTTGAGGTATATGACATCTTGTGCAAACAGAAAGGGTAAGAGAGCATGCGTTTAGCTTTTCTGAAGCGTAGAGGAAAAACGTGGGAATTACAATAACAGAAGAAATTCGGGTTTGAGATCTGGTCCACACACTGACACTTCTGATGTGAACAAAACGCAAGGAAAGTAGCAAGCTTCATTGTTATGCTCAGAACAGCGAATTATTCAGTTAAACGGGTTGCAAGAACTTTTGGTTGCTTTGATAAAATCCAACGCATACACTTTGTTTTCTTTCAGCCTACCCGTTGTTGTGGCTTTGAGTGATACGGAGAACAACACTGGAAAATACCCTCATTTGTCAGACGCTCTTTTGCTAAAGATTTTCTCACATTTTACAATTGAGGACTTGATGCGCATGTCTTGCGTCTGCCAGCAGTGGCGCCGCGTGAGCCTGGACCCAAGTTTGTGGCAAAGCATTGATTTGTCCTCTTGTGCCCACCCGCGAATCCGTGACAGGACCGTTATTTGTTTAGTTTCGCGCGTTACGTCCTCTGCTATCACGTACATTGACCTATCAGGACCTGGGTGTTTGCGTCTTACAAACGTCAGCTTGTTTCACATCGCCCGTCAGTGTCACAAACTTCGCAAACTTTACATCTGCAATCGTAATCGAATCACGAGCACTGGAATCGAGATGATAGCACGACATTGCCCTTATCTGGAAGTCCTCGGAATGTCGAAGTGCCCTCTGATACTATCCCGAGGACTCGGCTTTGTTTTGCATCGCTCGAAGCTGCTACGAGAACTGGACATTAGTGGATGTCTGTGGGTCACTAATGCGGTTCTCGTTGAGATCGGACAGCTTTGTGTTTGTTTAGTTTACCTCAGTATCGAAGGCTGCAAAAAGGTCACGGATTACGGTATAGTCTCCCTTGCGAACTCGTGCACCACCTTAAAACACATCAATTTACGAAACACTAAACGAATCTCCAACGCAGGAATGGAACAATTTTTAACCAAGCTGCCTAACCTAGAGGGTCTAGAAATTGGTTTAGTCCGTAAAGGTCGTGGAACCGCTGCCATGTTGAACCTTGTAGCGACACACTGCAAGAACCTTACATTTTTTGATTATCAAGAGTGTCTTCCTACCCCTGTGGATGATGTTCTTTGTCAGATCGCTGAACAGTGTCAGAGATTGCGCTTCATGGGAGTCAGATATCAGTACCAGACTCTCTCCAATAACTTGATACTCTCTTTGACAAAGTTGTGTCCAAGCTTAGTAAGAATTGACGCAAGTTTGCGCTTTTATATATGAAAACATCTGCACTGAACTGAAAAGGTGGTCTGAAGTAAGCCTCGCGTGAAAAAAAATAAAATAAAAACAATATGAAGGTTCGTCTTGAATTAAAATATGTTCCCATAATTACACATCGCGAAAACTGACTTTGATAGCTAACTCAAGATAAAATAAAGGAGGTGATAGGAGATGATAACTGATGGAAAATACCTCGAAGGAAACTGAAGCATTACATATCGTTTGGTTTTCTAAATAGGTGTAATCATTTAGTGTGATCACCTTAAAAGAAGCTGTTGTTGTTGACTTTGATACAAAACTGAGTGAATTCTCAACAAACGATTACTGATTCTGGATTAAGAAAACTGTAGCTGAGGTTGTTGACCAAGTTTCCATTGCGGTAGCCAAAATGATCAAAGGAGTCTTGAAAATTCCCTCACGGTGACTGCCGTTAAGATAGATTATAGATTTTTGTTTTAACATTAGTAAAATTGTCGTTTGTAGTGAACGTACATCAACTTTATATT